GGGTCCATCCCGTAATTTAGGGAAAATGGCGATTGATTGGTCGTGGCGGAGGGTGCGTTGTTAAACGCGAACTCCAGCATGGGAAGTGAGTCTTCCCATTTGGCCATGTCGGGGCAGTTGGTCCGTATCAGCTGCTCCATGGTCTGATTGGTTCTCTCTGTCTGACTGTCAGTTTGCGGGTGGTAAGACGACGAAAACTGCAGGCGTGTGCCGTACTGTGCCCACGTCTCCTGCCAGAACTTCGACGTGAATTTCGGGTCTCGATCGCTGATGATCGCCGAAGGTAACCCGTGTAGGCGTACGACGGTGGAGATGAACAGCTTCGCAGTTTCTTCGGCTGTGATCGTCGTGCGGCATGGTGCGAAATGTGCCATTTTCGTTAGTCGGTCGACGACGACCAAAACCGAGTCGTTGCCGCTTGCGCCAGCTGGCAGTCCCGTGACGAAATCCATCGTCACTTGTTGCCACGGTCGTCCGGGTGGCTCGAGGGGTTGCAACAGTCCAGCTGGTCGTTGTCGGGACGACTTCATGGCTTGGCAGGTCGGGCAGGTTGTCACGTAGCGCTGCACGTCCGACAGCATGTCGGGCCAGTAATAATTCCGCTGCAGCAGCTTCAGTGTTTTGTCGATGCCGAAATGCCCGGAGAGGTTAGAGTCATGAACCTCCTGTGTCAGCAACTCTCTTAAGGGTCGGTATGACGGGACCCAAACCCTGTTCGTACCGGCTTTTAGGTAATAACTCCCATGCTGCGTCGTGGCCTGGTGGTGTAGGTTTCGCTTAAAGAAGCGGTCGGTCGTGTAGCCGTGGGTGAATAGTCCCGATAATAGCGGGTTGGAATGGGCGATAAGTACTGCTGCTGTTTGCATTGATGGGCGGGTCAGGGCGTCGGCGATGTTGTTGGCGCCTTTCTTGTACGTGATGGTGTAGGTGAAGTTGGATTTCAGGTAGTCCAGCCACCTGATTTGTCGCGGGTTGAGTGTCGGTTGGCTTCGTATGTACTGTAGTGATTTGTGGTCGGTTCGTATCGTCATGTCGGCTCCCGTTAAGTAGCAGCGCCAGGTTCGAAACGCGTGGACGATGGCCAGCATCTCCTTGTCGTGGACCGGGTAGTTGCGCTCGGGTGGCTGCATTTTGCGTGACTCGTACGCAATGGGTTGCAGCCCTTTGCCAAAATCCTGTACAAGGACGGCGCCGATGGCGAAATCGCTGGCGTCTGTGATGACTTCGAACGGTCGAGATGGGTCGGCGAGGCGGAGGACAGGGGGTGAACTCAATTTTTTTTTGAGGTCGTCGAAAGCCAACTGTTCTCTCTCCCCCCACTGAAAAATGGTTGTCTTGTGTAGGAGGTCGGTTAGGGGTGTGGTCACCCCCGCCATATTGGGTACAAAGCGGCGGACGTAATTCACGAATCCCAGGAAACTCTGCAGCTCCGTGATGTTGGTCGGTGGTTCCCACTTAGCGATTGCGTCCACCTTGCGAGGGTCAATTTTAATGCCTTCTCCCGAAACCACGTGCCAACTCCAGCTCCGGCTTTAGGAACTCGCACTTAGAGCCCTTCGTAATGAGCCGATTTTGCTGTAAGCGCCGGAACACCTCCTCCAGATCCTCAAAGTGTTGTTCTTGCGTCTTGCTGTACACCAGGATGTCGTCGAGGTAGACGATGACTTTTTGATCCAGCATGTCCCGGAACACCCCGTTCATGGTCAGCTGGAACGTCGAGGGCGCGTTTGTCAATCCGAATGGCATCACGGTGTACTCGTAACTACCGTAGCGTGTGCGAAAAGCGGTTTTCGTGCAGTCGTCGGCGAACACGCGAATTTGGTGGTAGCCTCCTCGCAGATCGATTTTCGAGAAATAGCGAGACCCGCGAAGTTGGTCCAGCAGGTCGTCCGCTCGCGGGATCGGGTAACGCGACTTTATCGTGACCCGATTCAGCGCCCGGTAATCAATGCACATGCGTAGGCCTCCGTCCTTCTTCGGCGTGAATAGTATTGGCGCTGCGAATGGTGACGTGCTCGGCCATATAAATCCCTTGGCGAGGAGGTAATCCAGCTGGCTCCTCAACTCGTCGAGCTCCGGTTGGCTGAGTCACCACTGTGTTCGAACAGTAGGTTGCGCGCCGGGTTCCAGCTGTATCTTGTGATCTTCTGGACGCTGAGGTGGCAAGCCATCGGGTAGGTCATCCGCGAAAATTTCGGGATACTTCCGGATGATGCCTGCCAGTTCCACAGGGACTGCCTCGCAGAGCTTGTCGATGTCGGCGACTTTTTCGGTGGCTGCTACCTCGTACAGGTGTACGGCGTAGCCTCTGGCCCCCTTGTTGATCGCTCGCCGCATGGTGACGGCGTTGACACGTGTCGTCACAGGCTCCGGGTCCGTCCATGTCGGAAGTGTTGTCTGCCCTGTATTTCCTCGCACATTGCATGTCCCCGTTGTCCAGTCGATCGTTGGATTGAATCGTTGCAGCCAGACTCGCCCCAGCAGCACATCGCAGCCGTCCAATGTTGTCGCCAGCATCTTCATGCCGAACCCGAAATTGTCGCCACATTTCATCCGAACTTGTCGCGCTTCATCTCGGATCGCCAGCGGTGTTCCGTCCACTAGCCGTGCGTCAATCTCCGGCAGACATCTGTCCAGCTTGACCCCAAATTTTTGGCTGTTGACAGGTTGATGAGGCTGTGACTAGCCCCACCGTCAACAAATATTTTTATTTTATGGCCGTTAACCCTCCCTACTGCCAGCACAGGGTGGTCCACGTGTTCACCCACGTTATTCGTCCGATTGCGGTCGATTGCTCGGATCGGTACCACAACTCGGTGTGGATGGTGATTGTCGGGCGACAGGGTCTCGTCAGCAGGTCGCCCGTCTGCTACTGACTCGCATCTTTTCCCGACCCTTCTCCGTCGTTCCTTTTCCCCTGCTTCAGCTTCGGGCAGTCTCTTTTCAGGTGGCCCAGCTGGTTGCATGCAAAGCATGGCCCGATGGGTCGGCTTGGCGCATCCACGCCGTTGATCGTGGGCTGCTGCGTCGATCCACGGAATCGAGGGCCCTCCCGGGAGCTCGATCTCGCCCACTGCATCAGTGCATCCGTTGACTCGGCTTCCCGGACAGCGTCGTTAAAGCTGCATGGCCGCGTTCGTCGGACCTCATATTGAATTTCGTATTTCAGGCCCGCCACGTAGCGATCCATCCACTCCGCGTCGCTCATATCGTCCACTTGGTCAGCCAAGTTGCAGAACGCGCTGGTGTAGTCTTGGACCGAAGTCAGCTGCTTCCAGGCACGCAGCTTCATGCGGGCAGAATCCGAGGCGGAGATGTGCTCGAACCTGGCTCGCAAGGCGGCGCCCCACTCCTTCCATGTGCGTATCGTGGCCGTTCCGAAAATTGGAGCTGCTCGTTGCGTGACAGGTGTCGAGGTCCCGTCGTTCGCACGTGTTGTCCCTGCCGAAGTCCCCTCGGTTTGAAGCGTGCGTCGCCACCATTCCAACGCAGGTCCTCGTCACAGTGAAACTGCAAAATTAATGCGGGTGGCATCGTCGTTAATCATCGCAGCATTAAAGAACAACTCCGCGCCAAACAACCATGCAGAAACAGTGACAAACTTGTCACTCGGGTTGAATGGTGGTGGGTTCGTCGGTTTGATCTTGACAGTTGTTGAGGCTGTCATAGTCGCTGGAGTTGTTGCTGCCGCTGATGTCGCTGGTGCACGTGTTGGCACTGCTTGCGACTGTTGCTGTTGTTCCCGCCCTTCTTCTGCAGCATCCATGGAGCCTTCCAGCTCACTGAAGACGGCCTCGTTCGGCGTGGAGCTACTACTTGCTTCATCCACGATGGGCGACTCCTGGCGCGCTTCACCACGCGCCTGGTGTAGTTCGGCGTTTTCCTTCTTCAGGCGATCAACCTCCTCAGACATCGTCTGCATGTTGGCCTGCATCGCCCGAAACTGTTGTATAAACTCGTTCAACTCCGCCTGGTCCATATTTCGCAGGCTTCGTCGGACGGGCAGGGGGTGGTTAGCGATTTTTTATGACGTTTAGTGAAGGCGCAAACGCTATCGTAGTCGGAGTGAAATAATCGTATCTATTTCACAGGCCGACCGCTTTGCAGCCCACTAAGTCTATCGCTCCCCTTACACAAACTACCCCGGAAATGCGAGGGTAACCTAGGAAAGTAGCTCTGATACCAAGTGTTATGAGTTGTAATGAAGAAGAGTGCGCAGGATTCAATAACGCGGAAGTGATAACAACTACTGACTGAATAATGAAGCCTAGCACTTATATAGCGAGAACTAGCTAGGCCGAGGTTGCGGGACCGCGAAAGGTCAGGAGCAGGTTCGGGGTTGGGAAGACCCGAAGGCGACGCGTTGATGGTTCGGCGGGCGAGGTCAGCGGACCGAGCCTGGAACTCTGAAAGTTGGGGCTGTACGCGTACAGTGTGACTCAGTAAGGAATTGGGAAAAATCCTTACAATGTTTGTACCGGAAATGTGCCAGCAGATCCACCATTATCCCTCATTCACTACACCTGATCAATCCCACTCTACTAAATGATAGAGAATGCCCTCCAGCAGAGTTTAAGCTCCCATCCCAAGTTTCACATGGGTACATGCGAGGCAAACAAAATTCCGTACTTTTTGTCATTTAAGGCATTATATTGCAATCAAAAAGTCATACACGCAGTAAAACACACGGGCGTTGCTTAAAGTAATGGACTTACCAGTACTACAAAGGTTTTGTACGTATGATAACTTTTGCATTCTCAATGCAGCGGAAAATCTGCTGTAAACCAAACGGGAGGTGCTAATTTGTAGGTGGGAGCATGCGTTCACCCGTGGATGCACGAAAAGGGACATGGCCTCCTCACCCGTGATTCCATCCTCCTCACCCTTCCTGCATGCCCTCTACCTTGTGTGAGTGGGGTGCTGTTGGAAGTCCCTCCTCCCACCATCAGGCGCACAGACCCCCTCATGCGCCTCGCTGTCAGGCCCCACCTGCCTCTTCCTCACCCTTCCTGCATGCCCTCTGCATCACCTGTGCCGGATGGCGGTGGGGGTGCCTCCTCCCCGGCATCAGGTGCACTACCCCCCTCATGCGCCTCATTATCAGCGCCACCACCTGCCTCCTCCTCATCCGAATCTGTCAGCTGCCGGCGCCGCTTGCGAGCGGGCACTCCCTGCCATGCCAGGAGGGACACGGACATATACGGTAGGAGAAATTCAGGGACGAAACGCAAACAAGAGGGACTGACACAAGAGGACCAAGGGAGCACGAAAGAAGCAGGGGACATGCGGACTATGCGCAGATGATCGAAGGGAGCCAGACCCACCTGGTCATTGCCGTCCCCTCGTGCAACCCCTCCCTCCTCCTCCTCATCCACCAGCCCAGCTGCAGCCAGGGCATCCTCCTCCTCCCCCTCGCCCCCTCCACCTCTCCCCTTCCTCTCTCCCCTCGGACTCCCTCCCTCATCTCCCGACCCTTCCCCTCCACCTCCTCTCTCCCCATCAGACCCCCACGGGTTCTCATCCTCATGCCTTTCCTCCCGCTCGTCTCTCCCGTCCCTGTCACCCCCCTCGTCCCTGTCGCTCCTGCTCCTGCTCCTGCTCCTGTCCCTCCCCTCGCGATGCTTCTTCTTCTTCTTCCGCTTCTTATCCTTCCTCCTCTCCCTCCTCTCCCCGTCCTCCTCCCCCTCTCGCTCCCTCTCCCTCTCCCTCTCCCTATCCCTATGCTTCTCCCGTTTCTTCTCCTTGCGTCGCTCCTTCTCCCTGTCTTTGCGGCTCTTCCCCCCACCCCTGCCGTCCTCCCCGCCCTCCTCATCGTCCTCCACAGCCTTGGGCCTCTCGTTGCGCTTCCACATATCCTGCGGTGGAACCATAGACGCAGTGGATGAGGCAGCAGAGAGGGAGTGGAAGAGGCAGCAGAGAGGGAGTGGAAGAGGCAGCAGAGAGGGAGTGGAAGAGGCAGCAGAGAGGGAGTGGAAGAGGCGGCACGAGTTTTTAGACATCTCCTCCACTGCCTTGGGCCTCTCGTTGCGCTTCCACATATCCTGCAGTGGCACCATAGACGCAATGGATGAGGCAGCAGAGAGTGAGTGGAAGAGGCAGAGAGTGAGGGAGCAAGAGAGGCAGCAAGAGAGGCAGTGGGGTGGAATAGGTGGGGCCCAAGGGCAGGGAGGGAAGGAGGCGAGGGGCAACAGGCAGTCAGGCAGAGGGGGGCAGAAAAATTTGGAGGCAGATTTAAAAAAAGGAGGACACAACCAAGATTCGAGGAGGAGGAGGAGGATACAACTTAGAGGAGAAGCACTAACCAGACACAGATGGATTCGCACATCACACACCAATTCCACCACCCATCCCCCCCCCCACCAACTCGTACCCACGACCAACCCACCCACCACCCACAACTCTCCCCTCCCCCCAACACCCCACCCACCTCTTCCTCCTGCTCCAGCAGCCTCCTCTCCTCCACGTCCCTCCTCCCACCCACCATCTCCCCCCCCATCCCCCCCACCATACCATGCGGCGCTTGATCTCCTCCTCCTGCTCCAGCAGCCTCCTCTCCTCCTCGTCCCTCCTCTGCCTCTCCGCCTGCCACACAGCCATGGGGAGGAAATGTGGAGCAGAGTGCGGGGCAGGGTAGAGCAGAGCAGAGAGCAGAATGTAGGGCAGGGTCACATGGGGGGAGCGCGAGGGGGAACAGCAACACTGCTGCAACTCACTCACTGATATCCCTTTCCAACACTCACCAGCACTCATGGGAACCTATCAATCAGCACCCAGCAGCACCCACCATCACCCATCAGCACCACACACCCTACCTCCACGAGCTTATCCTCCTCCGCTCTCTTTTTCGACGCCTCTACCTCTGCCACCTGCCTCTCCGCCTCCGCACGTTGCTGCTCGCACACACAGGGACGGGGGAGGGGAGGGGCGGGGCGGGGCGGGTTAGGCATACATGCAAGGGGCATATGTACGGCATGGATGCATGCAAGGGGAGCGTACAAGAATGAGAGAGAGGAGAAGCGCGGGAGAGGGTAGGAGGGGACATGAGAAGTGGAGAAGGGGAATAAAGCAGGGGTGAGTGGCAAAGTGGGGAGGGGGAGGGGGGGTAATAGGAGTGAAGGACGGTGAGAGGCAGGAATACGATAGGCGGTACTGACGGGGGAGAATGAGACAAGATGTATGGGCGTTGGGGTGGTGAGCGATGGGGTCATGCGGGATGGGGTAGTGAGAGCGGGGAATGAGATGCGGAAGCTGAGAGGGGGAACGGCGAGAATGAGAGGAGGGAGAGAGCTGACCTTGCGCTGCTGCTCCTCCCTCTCCGCCACCTCCAAGTGCTGCTTGGCTGAGCTCAGCACATGCTGTTGGTGATGGTGATGGTGATGGTGATGGTGATGGTGATGGTGATGGGGGTGGGGATGGGGTTGTGGGTGGGGGTGGGGATGATGATGGGATATTGATGCAGTGAAGTCATCATGCCAGACACACGCATTTCACAAGCATAACGGATGCATTCTCGAAATTGTGAAACACACATTAAGACATGTTTCGATTCGACTCGAAACACACCAGAAAGCGAATGTCCGTTCAAAGACACATAAAAAAGCATTGACATACTCATGCAACATATGTCTCAAAGGCAGCTGGACGGACACTCATCTGATGCTGGCTTGAAAGCACCTGAATGCACGAAACTCGGAAACACCGAACAGTACTCGAGATGCGAGTTGGCCTGAGTGCGAGCTAACAGTCCTCAGGTGCATAGGTGCACCTGCGTGCATGGTGCTGACTGACGTGCGGACTAACTGTGAGATGAGAATCACCTGGCAGTACTCGAGATGCGAGTTGGCCTTCTTCTTGTCCACCCCCCCCTGTGACCCCTGCACTCCCCGTGTTGCCAGCTGGCATGGTTGCACGGTCACAGTCACACAACACATGCATGCTCACAATCGCAGATATGCAGTCATAGTCACACGCACAGTCACACATGCACAGTCACACATGCACAGTCACACATGCACAGTCACACACATGCACAGTCACACACATGCACCGTCACACACATGCACAGTCACACACATGCACAGTCACACACATGCACCGTCACACACATGCACAGTCACACATGCAGAGACACACAACCAGCAGTCCCCCAGAACACACACACGGCATCACACAAATACATGAGTACTACAGGCAATGCTTGCTTGTGAGACGAATGCAGGTGAAGAACGCATGACAAGAAGAATCAATGCAGCATCAACGAGGGGTGTGTTCTGGCATGGAGACACGATGTGGTGAGTGGGACGGGATGTGCTGGCCCGTCCCACGCACCTGGGAGAAGAGGCGGAGGGCGGTCTTCAAGTCCGACACCACCTTGCGAACCTGCATGAGAGCATTGAGAGGGAGAAGGCGTTGGGAGGAAATGAGATTTGGGAGAGAGTGGGCACTCTTTCGAGGCGCATCAAAGTCCGTCGTCAAGGGCTTGGGGCGCGGGGTCCTTGAGTGAGGCACGAACGAAAGAACGGCGCGATCTACCTTTTTAATATTTCAGTCTGGTGGCAAGGCACAGTGAGGATTTACCCAATCCCGCCCGGGGAGACACTCGATCCCTCCCTCTCCACCATACCTGCTCTGCCGTCCGTTTCTCCTGCTTCAGCACAGTCACGGCCATCTTCTGCAGCGCCATTGCCACGTTGAAGCGCAGGGCGGCGTTGTTCGGCGCCACATGCACCGCCAGCAGCAGCGAGCGGCGGCACTGCGCCAGCTGGTCGGCATCATACTGCGCGCGCGCCATATAGGACAAAGTGCGCAAGTGGAAGCCCTCGGCCCCGCTCGCCCCCACTGCCCCGCTTGCAAAGAAACGCTTCAGAGTCTTCTCGTACTGTTGGGAAGGGGAGGAGGAGGAAGAGGGGAAGAGAGGAAAACTGGGTTTCGTGGTGTTGGTGGAAAGGACACGAGCAAAGAATGCTGCACTGCAAGCATCAGCTCACTGCACCCAGCAGCTCCAATAAAGCACAGTGCGCTTACCAACTTGACAGCAAGAGCGTAGTCCCCCTTAGCCAGGTGCACATTAGCGAGGTTCATCCAGACGTCTGGTAGGTCGGTGGCGCCAGGAGCAGAGGAAGCTTCCTGCACGGAGGTGAAGATGTCCTTTGCCACGTCGAACAGCCCCCTTTCCGCCACCACACTGCCCACCCCGTTCGCCGCATACATGTTGCTGCTGCTGCCTGTCAGCGCCTGGGGGGTGGGGGAAGTGGGGGGTGTATGGGGTTATTGTGGGTGAGGAGAGGCGCCTAATAGAGGAGAGGCGTCTATTAGAGGAGGGGCGCCTATTAGAGGAGGGGCGCCTATTAGAGGAGAGGCGCCTATTAGAGGAGGGGCGTCTATTAGAGGAGGGGCGTCTATTAGAGGAGGGGCGCCTATTAGAGGAGGGGCGCCTATTAGAGGAGGGGCGTCTATTAGAGGAGGGGCGCCTATTAGAGGAGGGGCGCCTATTAGAGGAGAGGCGCCTCTAAGAGAGTGGGTTGGCAAAAGAGTGAGCAGAGAGCAAGCGCAGGAGGAACTGCTGATGCATGTTGAAAGAGAGTTGAACTGCTGATGCATGTTGAAAGAGAGTTGAACTGCTGATGCATGTTGAAAGAGAGTTGAACTGCTGATGCATGTTGAAAGAGAGTTGAACTGCTGATGCATGTTGAAAGAGAGTTGAACTGCTGATGCATGTTGAAAGAGAGTTGAACTGCTGATGCATGTTGAAAGAGAGTTGAACTGCTGATGCATGTTGAAAGAGAGTTGAACTGCTGATGCATGTTGAAAGAGAGTTGAACTGCTGATGCATGTTGAAAGAGAGTTGAACTGCTGATGCATGTTGAAAGAGAGTTGAACTGCTGATGCATGTTGAAAGAGAGTTGAACTGCTGATGCATGTTGAAAGAGAGTTGAACTGCTGATGCATGTTGAAAGAGAGTTGAACTGCTGATGCATGTTGAAAGAGAGTTGAGATTACACGTTTCAAAGGAGTGAACGCATCTCTTCCCCATCTTGGGAAATCATCGCATCGTCCCACCAATTCACCCCACCACCCACCTTGTGGAACATCTCCCACCTTGTGGAACATCTCCCACCTTGTGGAACATCTCCCACCTTGTGGAACATCTCCCACCTTGTGGAACATCACCCACCTTGTGGAACATCTCCCACCTTGTGGAACATCTCCCACCTTGTGGAACATCACCCACCTTGTGGAACATCTCCCACCTTGTGGAACATCTCCCACCTTGTGGAACATCTCCCACCTTGTGGAACATCTCCCACCTTGTGGAACATCTCCCGGGCCTTCTCAAGGAAGGACGCCTCTGCCTTGGTGTCCCGCGTGGGTCGAGAAGGCAAGTGCAGCTGCAATCCCCCAGCAAACCCCCGTTCCCCCTCACCCCCCCCCCCCCCCCCCTCCACTCACCTTGTGGAACATCTCCCGGGCCTTCTCAAGGAAGGACGCCTCTGCCTTGGTGTCCTGCGTGGGTCGAGAAGGCAAGTGCAGCTGCAATCCCCCAGCAAACCCCCGTTCCCCCGCACCCCCCCCCCCCCCCCCCTCCACTCACCTTGTGGAACATCTCCCGGGCCTTCTCAAGGAAGGACGCCTCTGCCTTGGTGTCCCGCGTGGGGCGAGAAGGCAAGTGCAGCTGCAATCCCCCAGCAAACCCCCGTTCCCTCACCCCCCCCCCCCCCTCCTCCACTCACCTTGTGGAACATCTCCCGGGCCTTCTCAAGGAAGGACGCCTCTGCCTTGGTGTCCTGCGTGGGTCGAGAAGGCAAGTGCAGCTGCAATCCCCCAGCAAACCCCCGTTCCCCCTCACCCCCCCCCCCCCCCCCCTCCACTCACCTTGTGGAACATCTCCCGGGCCTTCTCAAGGAAGGACGCCTCTGCCTTGGTGTCCTGCGTGGGTCGAGAAGGCAAGTGCAGCTGCAATCCCCCAGCAAACCCCCGTTCCCCCGCACCCCCCCCCCCCCCCTCCACTCACCTTGTGGAACATCTCCCGGGCCTTCTCAAGGAAGGACGCCTCTGCCTTGGTGTCCTGCGTGGGTCGAGAAGGCAAGTGCAGCTGCAATCCCCCAGCAAACCCCCGTTCCCCCGCACCCCCCCCCCCCCCCCTCCACTCACCTTGTGGAACATCTCCCGGGCCTTCTCAAGGAAGGACGCCTCTGCCTTGGTGTCCTGCGTGGGTCGAGAAGGCAAGTGCAGCTGCAATCCCCCAGCAAACCCCCGTTCCCCCTCACCCCCCCCCCCCCCCCCTCCACTCACCTTGTGGAACATCTCCCGGGCCTTCTCAAGGAAGGACGCCTCTGCCTTGGTGTCCTGCGTGGGTCGAGAAGGCAAGTGCAGCTGCAATCCCCCAGCAAACCCCCGTTCCCCCGCACCCCCCCCCCCCCCCCTCCACTCACCTTGTGGAACATCTCCCGGGCCTTCTCAAGGAAGGACGCCTCTGCCTTGGTGTCCTGCGTGGGTCGAGAAGGCAAGTGCAGCTGCAATCCCCCAGCAAACCCCCGTTCCCCCGCACCCCCCCCCCCCCCCCCTCCACTCACCTTGTGGAACATCTCCCGGGCCTTCTCAAGGAAGGACGCCTCTGCCTTGGTGTCCTGCGTGGGTCGAGAAGGCAAGTGCAGCTGCAATCCCCCAGCAAACCCCCGTTCCCCCTCACCCCCCCCCCCCCCCCCCTCCACTCACCTTGTGGAACATCTCCCGGGCCTTCTCAAGGAAGGACGCCTCTGCCTTGGTGTCCTGCGTGGGTCGAGAAGGCAAGTGCAGCTGCAATCCCCCAGCAAACCCCCGTTCCCCCGCACCCCCCCCCCCCCCCCCTCCACTCACCTTGTGGAACATCTCCCGGGCCTTCTCAAGGAAGGACGCCTCTGCCTTGGTGTCCCGCGTGGGGCGAGAAGGCAAGTGCAGCTGCAATCCCCCAGCAAACCCCCGTTCCCTCACCCCCCCCCCCCCCCTCCTCCACTCACCTTGTGGAACATCTCCCGGGCCTTCTCAAGGAAGGACGCCTCTGCCTTGGTGTCCTGCGTGGGTCGAGAAGGCAAGTGCAGCTGCAATCCCCCAGCAAACCCCCGTTCCCCCGCACCCCCCCCCCCCCCCCCTCCACTCACCTTGTGGAACATCTCCCGGGCCTTCTCAAGGAAGGACGCCTCTGCCTTGGTGTCCTGCGTGGGTCGAGAAGGCAAGTGCAGCTGCAATCCCCCAGCAAACCCCCGTTCCCCCGCACCCCCCCCCCCCCCCCCCTCCACTCACCTTGTGGAACATCTCCCGGGCCTTCTCAAGGAAGGACGCCTCTGCCTTGGTGTCCTGCGTGGGTCGAGAAGGCAAGTGCAGCTGCAATCCCCCAGCAAACCCCCGTTCCCCCGCACCCCCCCCCCCCCCCCCTCCACTCACCTTGTGGAACATCTCCCGGGCCTTCTCAAGGAAGGACGCCTCTGCCTTGGTGTCCTGCGTGGGTCGAGAAGGCAAGTGCAGCTGCAATCCCCCAGCAAACCCCCGTTCCCCCGCACCCCCCCCCCCCCCCCCCCTCCACTCACCTTGTGGAACATCTCCCGGGCCTTCTCAAGGAAGGACGCCTCTGCCTTGGTGTCCTGCGTGGGTCGAGAAGGCAAGTGCAGCTGCAATCCCCCAGCAAACCCCCGTTCCCCCGCACCCCCCCCCCCCCCCCCTCCACTCACCTTGTGGAACATCTCCCGGGCCTTCTCAAGGAAGGACGCCTCTGCCTTGGTGTCCTGCGTGGGTCGAGAAGGCAAGTGCAGCTGCAATCCCCCAGCAAACCCCCGTTCCCCCGCACCCCCCCCCCCCCCCCCCCTCCACTCACCTTGTGGAACATCTCCCGGGCCTTCTCAAGGAAGGACGCCTCTGCCTTGGTGTCCCGCGTGGGGCGAGAAGGCAAGTGCAGCTGCAATCCCCCAGCAAACCCCCGTTCCCCCGCACCCCCCCCCCCCCCCCCTCCACTCACCTTGTGGAACATCTCCCGGGCCTTCTCAAGGAAGGACGCCTCTGCCTTGGTGTCCTGCGTGGGTCGAGAAGGCAAGTGCAGCTGCAATCCCCCAGCAAACCCCCGTTCCCCCGCACCCCCCCCCCCCCCCCCTCCACTCACCTTGTGGAACATCTCCCGGGCCTTCTCAAGGAAGGACGCCTCTGCCTTGGTGTCCTGCGTGGGTCGAGAAGGCAAGTGCAGCTGCAATCCCCCAGCAAACCCCCGTTCCCCCGCACCCCCCCCCCCCCCCCCCTCCACTCACCTTGTGGAACATCTCCCGGGCCTTCTCAAGGAAGGACGCCTCTGCCTTGGTGTCCTGCGTGGGTCGAGAAGGCAAGTGCAGCTGCAATCCCCCAGCAAACCCCCGTTCCCCCGCACCCCCCCCCCCCCCCCCCTCCACTCACCTTGTGGAACATCTCCCGGGCCTTCTCAAGGAAGGACGCCTCTGCCTTGGTGTCCTGCGTGGGTCGAGAAGGCAAGTGCAGCTGCAATCCCCCAGCAAACCCCCGTTCCCCCGCACCCCCCCCCCCCCCCCCCTCCACTCACCTTGTGGAACATCTCCCGGGCCTTCTCAAGGAAGGACGCCTCTGCCTTGGTGTCCTGCGTGGGTCGAGAAGGCAAGTGCAGCTGCAATCCCCCAGCAAACCCCCGTTCCCCCGCACCCCCCCCCCCCCCCCCCTCCACTCACCTTGTGGAACATCTCCCGGGCCTTCTCAAGGAAGGACGCCTCTGCCTTGGTGTCCTGCGTGGGTCGAGAAGGCAAGTGCAGCTGCAATCCCCCAGCAAACCCCCGTTCCCCCGCACCCCCCCCCCCCCCCCCCTCCACTCACCTTGTGGAACATCTCCCGGGCCTTCTCAAGGAAGGACGCCTCTGCCTTGGTGTCCTGCGTGGGTCGAGAAGGCAAGTGCAGCTGCAATCCCCCAGCAAACCCCCGTTCCCCCGCACCCCCCCCCCCCCCCCTCCACTCACCTTGTGGAACATCTCCCGGGCCTTCTCAAGGAAGGACGCCTCTGCCTTGGTGTCCTGCGTGGGTCGAGAAGGCAAGTGCAGCTGCAATCCCCCAGCAAACCCCCGTTCCCCCGCACCCCCCCCCCCCCCCCCCTCCACTCACCTTGTGGAACATCTCCCGGGCCTTCTCAAGGAAGGACGCCTCTGCCTTGGTGTCCTGCGTGGGTCGAGAAGGCAAGTGCAGCTGCAATCCCCCAGCAAACCCCCGTTCCCCCGCACCCCCCCCCCCCCCCCTCCACTCACCTTGTGGAACATCTCCCGGGCCTTCTCAAGGAAGGACGCCTCTGCCTTGGTGTCCTGCGTGGGGCGAGAAGGCAAGTGCAGCTGCAATCCCCCAGCAAACCCCCGTTCCCCCGCACCCCCCCCCCCCCCCCCTCCACTCACCTTGTGGAACATCTCCCGGGCCTTCTCAAGGAAGGACGCCTCTGCCTTGGTGTCCTGCGTGGGTCGAGAAGGCAAGTGCAGCTGCAATCCCCCAGCAAACCCCCGTTCCCCCGCACCCCCCCCCCCCCCCCCCTCCACTCACCTTGTGGAACATCTCCCGGGCCTTCTCAAGGAAGGACGCCTCTGCCTTGGTGTCCCGCGTGGGGCGAGAAGGCAAGTGCAGCTGCAATCCCCCAGCAAACCCCCGTTCCCTCACCCCCCCCCCCCCCCTCCTCCACTCACCTTGTGGAACATCTCCCGGGCCTTCTCAAGGAAGGACGCCTCTGCCTTGGTGTCCTGCGTGGGTCGAGAAGGCAAGTGCAGCTGCAATCCCCCAGCAAACCCCCGCTTCCCCCGCACCCCCCCCCCCCCCCCCCTCCACTCACCTTGTGGAACATCTCCCGGGCCTTCTCAAGGAAGGACGCCTCTGCCTTGGTGTCCCGCGTGGGGCGAGCACTCATGTTCAAGTTCCAGTTGCCCTGCCATACAGGGTGGGTTGACACACAGCCTTTGGGGTTAGTGCAATCATTAGTGAATTCCATTCCACGAGAGAGCAGCGGTGCATTTCTCAGCAGAGATCTCTTGAGTGCTACAATGTGCTTGGGCTTGTGCTCGCCTGCACCAAGCAATGAGCGTGCTAAGTCAACTCAAACACCTCTTGACTCAGAACACCCACCAGAGCGACGAGAGCAGTGGTGCACTTCTCAGGCGAGAGGTCCACGATGCGTTTGAGCGTGTCCTTGGCCGCTGCATGGTCGTCCCTGTCCGCACTAAGCTCGGTCTGAGTTCTGAGATGCGCCACCAAGAGAGCAGAGCACCTACCAGGGCAACAAGGGCGGCAGTGCACTTCTCAGGCGAGAGGTCCACGATGCGCTTGAGTGTGTCCTTGGCCGCTGCATGGTCATCCCTGTCTGCCTCCGCCCGGCTGCGCAGCAGCAACGCGTCCACGCTGTCTGGGGCGCGCTGTAGCACGGCTGATATCTGCAAAAGGCGCAGAGGAGCAAACGAGGACCAGGGAGCGAGGAATCCACAAGGCAGCAGGAGAGTATCCATGATGACACCACTGTGCCATGCCACAGCTCTCATCTGCAATCTCCAACCCCCAAACTCCCGAACTCCTCTCACATGTGTCATGGCAGCACCCATCCCCTCCCTCTGCTTCTCACATGTGTCATGGCAGCACCCATCCCCCCCTTCCGCTTGCTCTCACATGCGTCATGGCAGTGGCGTTGTCTCGGCGGTCCAGTGCCATGACTGCCAGGCGCAGATGGCAGTCCAGGTAGGACGGGTACTGAGAGGGGGGGAAGGGGAGGTGGAAAGGGGGGTTGGGAGGGTACACGGCAGGGAGGAACGGGGGGCAGGTTGCCTCAACGCTCCAGTGCCATCACTGCCAGGCGCAGGTGGCAATCGAGGTAGGACGGGTACTGGGGGAGAGGGGAGGAGAACGGGTATGTGGGGTGAGCATGGAGAGAGGGAGCAAGGCAGCTTTTCAGGCGACTAGAAAGGTGCAGGTGGCAGTCGAGGTAGGAGGGGTCATGAGGGGGAGGGGAGGGAAGGGGAGCGTGGGCGGGAGCAGAGCACACAAGGAGGGGGGAAGGGCAACTGTTGGGGCGGCTCAAAGGCAGGTGGTAATCGGGATAGACGGGGTACAGGGGGACTGGGGAGAGTGGCACAAGGAGGGAGCGGGCAAGGGCATCTGGGGGGAGAGAAGTAAGGTGGTGTAGTGTCAATACTGGTGGGTGTGGTGTGGGGTTACACACACAAGCGACTGCAGCAAAAGGGACAAAGATGAAGACGCTGAGAAGAGGGAAAAGAAAGAGAAACATACACAGAGTGGGTGAAACATACACGGAGTGGGTGATTACCTGGAAAGAGAAGAGAAACACCCGAACAGAAAAGAAAGTGCGGCGCACCTGGGAGAGGATGAGGCGGTAGAGGGCAGCGGCCTGGGTGAGGCAGCAGGTGCGCTCGAGGGAGAGAGCGAGGTTGAACACCACCGTCACCTTCTCCACTGGTAGCGCCGTCTCTGCTGCTCTCCCCTTGTCCGCACCACCGTTAGCGTCCTCTAGGTGCAGGATGGCTGCCCACGGCCCGTGTGGGCCCAAAGCCTCCTTGTACGCCTGCACTGCCTCCTGTGAGGGAGGGGCGGGGGTGGTAGAACGGGCAGCAGAGGGGGAGAGGGAGAGAGCGAGGCTGAACAGCACTGTCACCTTCTCCATTGGGAGTGCTGTCCCTGCCCCTTTCCCCTCGTCCGTACCCGCAGCTTCCCCAAGCTGCAGGATGGGCGACCCGGGCCCGTGTGGGCCCAGTGCCTCCTTGTACGCCTGCACTGCCTCCTGTGGGTGGGGTGGGCAGGCAGAACGGGGAGCAGAGGGGGGGAGGGAGAGTGCGAGGTTGAACAGCACTGTCACCTTCTCCACTGGCAATGCTGTCCCTGTCCCTCTCCCCTCGTCCACTCCCGCAGCTCCCTCAGGCTGAAGGATGGGCGCCCATGGCCCGTGTGGCCCCACTGCCTCCTTGTACGCCTGCACTGCCCTGTGGGGGGGAGGGTCGCAGCAGAAGAGATGGAGGTGGGGTGTGGATGGACAGTTGCTCAAACGGACAGAGAGGGGGGTAGAGAGAAAGCTGCGGGGGAAACAAACTTGCCAGGTTAAGAACACACAGGAATGGAAAGCAAACACACGTGATAGTGGTGCTTGCATTATCAGGGGCCGTCAACAACAGAGGTGCTGCTCGCCCCTCACCTCATACGCGCCCCTCTCATGCTGCAGCGCGGCAATGTTGTTCACCAGCTGCCACGGCACGCCCTCCTTGCCCACCGCCTTCACCATGCGCTCGTATGCCTGCAGCGCAGTGCAAGAGAGGGGGGGTGGAGGAGGCGGAATAAGTGAGGGAGAGGAGAATAAGTGAGGCGAGGCCGATGGGACTGACACGCCCTCCACGCCCACCGCCTTCACCATACGCTCCTTCACGTACTCCTGTATCCAGAGGGTTGGGGGCGGGGGAGAGAAAGGACAATAGGTGACTGCGAGAATGGATCACTGCGAGTGATATGGGGATGGAGTGGGGAGTGGGGAAGCACCTTCTTCGGATTTTCTCACCTTAAGATTTCAAGGCATTCGTGCGACGTTTGGAGAATGCCCTGGGCTGGCTGGGTACCTTCTTGAGAGACTCGAGCGCAGCAGGGAGGTCGGAGGAGACGAGCAGCTCCCCCACCTCCAACCACGCCTGGTGTCACACACACCGGCACGACACGTGGACAGCAAAAGCACGTGTGTGTGAGGAATAACGAATGGCGACATGTGGGGCACGGCACACACATGCACTATGTATTGCACAACGCATGCAATATGTATTGCAGTATGCATGCAGCAGAGGAGCGGGCACGGCCTGCAATAAAAACCAGCATTCACCTCACATACATGCGATGCCATGCTGTGCATGCATCTCTCCACCTCATTCGCCCCATGGAACATACCCCACATGCTGCCCCTAACCCCCACACCCCACACGATGTCGCTTGCCCCCATGGCCAGCAGGTCATGTCAGCTCACGTCCATGTCGGAGGGGCAGTGGTGGGTGATCTTGCGGAAGCACGCTGCTCACCTCCTTGCGGAAGCACGCTGCTCACCTCCATGCCAAATACCCCACCTGCCAGCCCCATGCTGCACCCATGGTCACATAATGACATCATATGGTCCCATCCACTCACGTCCACGTCGGAGGGGCAGTGGTGGGTGATCTTGCGGAAGCACGCCAGAGCATGGTCTTCATGTGATGTGTGCCCTCCACTCCACCTCACACACAACACCCATGCCCCACACCCACATGCTGTTGCACCTATGCCCCCATGCACTCACGTCCATGTCGGAGGGGCAGTGCTGGGTGATCTTGCGGAAGCACGCCAGTGCTTGGTCCTGCCGGCCCTGCTGTAGGTGAATGGCGCCCACCAGCTGATTGGGGAGGGGTTGAAGGTTGGAGGAAGAAAGAGGGGAGATGATGGCATGAACGAGAGGCCTGGCAGGGATGTGTGGAGAAGCAGCACGGCCATGCCAGGGCTTGGTCTTGCCGGCCCTGTTGCAGGTGAATGGCGCCCACCAGCTGATTGGGGTTGGAGACTTCAAGGCACGAACAGTGGGGCACGGAGGGAGGAGGGGATGAACGGGAGAAAAGCATTTGGTGAGGTGTACAACAACTTACACGCAGCACAATCTCCAGCGAGCCCAGCCCAGCGCCTCTAGAGGTGTCTCCAAACTGCTCATACATAGTGCTCCCCATGCTCCGCTACCCCTGCGCCCGTCCATGTGCTTCTTTCAAGCCTTGCATCTTGAGGGGGATATGGTTCTGAGCTGTTTCGGCCTCCCCTTGTCTATCCGTCTCCCTCTCTCACCTTGAGAGCATCACATCACTGTTGGTGGGGTGCACGGCCAGCACCTTCTCCAGCGTCCAGAGTGCCGCCTTGGCGCGCCCAACCTGCTCAGCGTGCTCCGTGTGCTGCTGCTATGCTACCCATGCACCCCTCAATCCCCCCCCCCTCACTCCCCCCTGCTCTCACCTTGAGCGCGTCACTGTTGGTGGGGTGCACGGCCAGCACCTTCTCTAGTGTGCCCAGTGCTGCCTTGGCATCACCCAGGCTCAGCTGAATCTGCCCCAACCCTGCACGCAGGGGAGAAGGGTGGGGAGGGGGAGAAGTGCACCCCAATAGTCAGTCAGACACGTGCCCAGCACCTTCTCTAGTGTGCCTAGTGCTGCCTTGGCATCGCCCAGACTCAGCTGAATCTGCCCCAGCCCTGCACGCAGGGTCGATGGGGAGGAGAGCGTGGTGAGGGGGAGGGAGAGCGTGCAGTGCACCCCGAGAGTCACTCACACGGCTGCTGAAATGACTTCACTTGGATCTGACTCCCTCATGCTTCTTCACCGCAATGAAAAAGTGCGAGGTATGAGGCGTGGAGTGCAAGGGGAGAGTGGGGGTGGGCGTACCATAGTAGGGCAGGGCGAACTCCCCTGGCTGCACCGTCTCTGTGGCCGCACCGGCTGATAGCAGGGCGAACTACCATAGTGGGGGTGCTAGAAACCCACCCGTAACCCACCCACACCATAGGGCCGTACGTACCATAGTAGGGCAGGGCGAACTCCCCTGGCTGTACCGTCTCCGTGGCCGCCTTGTAATACGCAAACGCCTTCTTCCTGTCGCCCTGTGCCGTGACACACACGACCAAGGGGGAGGGGGGAGAGAGAGACGGTAAGAAGCCATTTTACGGAGGGGGTGCTGGTACAAGCAGGCAGGCTGCACCGTCTCCGTGGCCGCCTTGCTATATGCAAACGCCTTCTTCCTGTCGCCCTGTGCCGTGACATAAGGGAGGGGGGAGAGGGGGGGACGGAGGCGTGACGAGAAGGGAAAGAAGAAGGAGAATGAGGAGCCTTGTAGTGATATGCAAAGAAGCAAGCAAGGGAGGGGAAGTGAGACGGAATGGCACGGAAAAGCAAACCCCACCTGAGCATGGTAGGTGCGCGCAAGGCAGTAGTAGGCTTCAGCACGCGGCAGAGAAGCCTCGGTGCTGGCGAGGGCGAGCGCAGCGAGGGGGTCGACCAGGCCGTGCAGGGATGGGGCCGGGCGGGGCCTGCGCGTGTATCTCTCACCTGAGCATGATAGGTACGTGCGAGGCAGTAATACGCCTCAGCACGCGGCAGAGCAGCTTCAGTGCTGGCGAGGGCGAGCGCAGCCAGGGGGTCGACCAGGGCGTGCAGAGAGGGGCCGGCGAGGAAGGCGTGGTTGGCGAGGTGGTTGAGGGCCATGGGGTGGAAGGGGAAGGCGTGGAACGCTGCCAGCATGCGCTGCTGCCCCCGCTGCACTGCTGTGACTGTTGATAGTAAAGGAGAGGGGTACAGGGGAGGTGCAGGAAGGGCGGTTATGCTATGCAGGGCATACAGGCTGAGCGGTGGGGTGGGAATGGGAGCACGTGAGAGAAGGAGAGAGGGGGTCAACGGGCGCATCAGCATTCCCATGGCAGCTGCAGCACCCTCTCCAGCGCCTGCCTGACATTGCCCGTGCATTCACACACCCATAGAAGCCCAATTCATGCACCATGCCTGTACCATCATCGGAGTTCACGTCCAGCAGTCCCAGTGCCACGAGCGCGTCTGCATTCCCTGGTTCCAGCTGCAGCACCCGCTCCAGCGCCTGCCTGGCCTTGCCTACACCCATGCCCACACATCCAAACCTGTACCATGGACTATGCCCGTACCATCATCTGAGTTCACATCTAGTAACCCCAGAGCCACAAGGGCGTCTGCATTCCCCGGCTCCAGCTGCGGCACCCGCTCCAGCGCCTGCCTGGCCTTGCACCTGTGCACACACCCACATACCATCGTCTGAATTGATATCCAGCAATCCCAGCGCCACGAGCGCGTCTGCATTCCCCGGCTCCAGTTCCAGCACCCGCTCCAGCGCCTGCCTGGCCTTGCCTGCATGGAACTCCCTGCGTGCCGCTGCTGGCTGGCGGGCTGCTGAGGAGGCGAAGAGGCGCAGATGGCACAGGCCAATGCCCAGACGCACTGATGGGGGGCACGTGGGGTGCAGCTGCAAAACCTTCTGCTCGGGGGAGAGGGGAGATTCGGGAAGAATGGGTGAGAAGGGGGAGAGAGGAGAGTGCAGTGAGAAACGGGGGAGAATGGGATGAGGATGAGGAAGCTGCACGGGTAGCAGCGCTTTGCTGTGAGGCACGAGGGACTAAGACGGGAGAGGGTGAGGGGGGAGGTGAGGAAGAGGAGAGGGCGAAGGGGACGTGGAGGCGGAGAAGGCAAGGGGTGCACGGACCTTGTAGAGGTTGAGGCATCGTTATTTGAGTCGACTCAAAAAATCGTTACTTGAGTCGACTCAAAAAGTCTATTTTTGAGTCGACTCAGGAATCGACTTATCACGCGAGGGGCGCACGGACCTTGTAGAGGTTGAGGGCGTCTTGGAACTTGGCCTTGTGGAAGAGCACACACGCCTGCACTCACATGAATGCACATGCGGGGAGGGAAATGCACGTACGCAGTGCACAGAACAGAAGCAATGAGATGAGGTGACTTGTAAGTTGACGTCGACTCATGAGCCACCTTGTAGGGGTTGCGGCCGTCTTGGGACTTGGCCTTGTGGAAGAGCACACACGCCTGCACACAGGGTAACATGCAGAGCGGGCAGTGCACCGAGGATCAGCACACAGGGCATCAGCACCGACCTGAGCAGAGCACGTATTCAGGAGCATGCACACTGCACGCCCATACACTGCACCGCACGCCCATACACTGCACCGCACGCCCATACACTGCACCGCACGCCCATACACTGCACCGCACGCCAATAAACAGCATCACACGCACATACACTACACCACCCGCTCATACGCTGCACCACCCGCTCATACGCTGCACCGTCTTTCTTCCCCCAAAAAAAGACCTTCCTCAGCAGCATCCCCCCAGCAGTACCTTGCCAAGCAGTGCGGGCACGTAGTCAGGAGCGCCAGCGAGGGCGAGGGAGAACATCTCCTCCGCCTGATGCACCTCGCCCTTCACCAGCTGCAGCTGCCCTGTCACGGGGAAAGGGGGGAGGGAAGAAAACAAGCACAGGGGAGAAGCGAGGAGAGAGCAGAGGAGGCACGTACAGTTATGGATAGCAGACGAAAGTAAATGCATGGAGCAACATTTCAAGTCTACAATACCTTCCCCCTTACCCCATCTCCCACCTTTCGCAGTCCCCAACTGTCCCTCTGCCCCCATCCAACCCCCCACGTTCCCTCACCTTTCCCCACCCACGTGGCCACGGCTTCACTGCTGATGCGGGCAGCCTTGTTATAGAAGCCCACCACCTTGATCAGCACCTCGTTGCGCCTCCCCTTTCACCCCTCTTAACCCCAACCTTTCCCCATAGCCCCACCTGTCCCTCTGCCCTCATCTCCCCTTCCCCATGCACGCACCTTTCCCCACCCACGTGGCCACGGCTTCGCTGCTGATGCGAGCAGCCTTGTTGTAGAAGTCAACCACCTTGATCAGCACCTCGTCCCGCTTCTGCCGCCGTGCCACGCGCCCCAGCCCCGTGTAGTGCGCTCCCAGCGCGTTCAGCATCGCTATGCGCTCGTGGCGAGACGTCTCATACACCCTCTCAGCATCTGGTTGGGGGGGGGGGGTAGGGGCGGCAGGGCAAGAGGTTAGTAACGTGGAAGCGCTTGACTGGAAAGGAAGCGCAGCCAGCCCTGCGCACCCAACGCGTTCAGCGTCGCTATGTATCAATGGACCACTGACGCCAGCAAATGCTTTGATACAACGTGTGCCCCGGGCCGGGCGTGTGCACGAATGACGCGTGTGCATGGTGGCAGGGAGGCGGTACCTGGCGAGGTGCCTTCTGATAGGATGTCCAGGAACGCCGCTGTGTTGCCTTGCTTGAAGTACGCTCGCTGCCAGGAAATCAAAGGTTGCAGGTTTGACGACAGGGGATCGAAAGCACAGAAAGAAGAGAGTCAACCAGGGGTCATGGTTGCTGCCAAAAGCAGGTGTCAGGTGTCAGCACATGTCAGTACGTGTCAGTACGTGTCAGTACGTGTCAGTACGTGTCAGTACGTGTCAGTACGTGTCAGTACGTGTCAGTACATGTCAGTGCAGGTCAGTCCACGTCCGAACAAACGAGTCATGATACCCTGGATGCCAGGATACGTGTTCGCAATGCATCAGAGAAGGCATCCCCCTGACCATCACTCGAGCGACTCAAGAGAGGAAATTTCTCTACCCGTCAGTGTGCAGTGCACCCACCGCTGGAAACCACCACTGTGCACCCACGCGACTGGTGACTGAAATGATAAATTAGTCTCTACCCGCCGGTATGCACTGCACCCACCGCGAGGTGCAGCCAGCAGTCGAGCGGCGCCTGCTCGCCCTTGAGAATGTCGACCAGATCGCCGTGATCGGACGGCAGGCGATCCACGTCCACCGCCACCGCCTCGCCCGTGCCGTGCAGCGGAATCAGGATGTAGCGCGGCGCGCCGGCCTCCTCCGCTGATGCCGCCATGGTTACCTGGTTTCAAGGATGCGGATTGAAACGGGTCACGCGATGGAGCGAAGCGCGACAATTGCTGCTACGGAAGTAGGAGAAGAATATTCATACGGGGTGAAGTTCATAGCCCTACAGTTGCCTCCGTCTGATCAGGTAATCTCCATAACTACGTCAAACTGGCGTTGCGAATATTAGGAGCAAGTCGTGGGGACTCCGGAAATGGCAACACTCTTCCTGCATTATCTCCAGTGCTCCGCTAAAAGACGCTGACATACTGATTATACCAATTTCAGGAGGCGGTGAAAAACTTGAAACGTATTTGTGATGAAAGATTGCGGGGATCATGCGAAATCAACCTTTTCATGGAAGTGTTTTACATTTGGCACCATAATCACACCTCCAGGAAAAAAGCGCGGGAGCTGGTCAGCACTGTTCCCCCGCCTTCCGTCAGTGAAGTACACTCCGTTCTGACACAAGTGAACTGGCATGTTTCAATGCGTAGCGCTGCGTCGCGCCAAGAGAGTTGACGGAATTCGTTCTCAGTTTGGGATTCCTCAACCTGCTGGCTTTTCAATTCGCCACCACGCCGCCGTCCGTCAGTTGTCATCATCCGATCCTGACGGTTCAAATCAAGCCACAGCGATCCGCCATTCTCACTCATCCCGACACCCTCTCTCGCCGCAATCTCACTCACCAGTGCTGCTTGCTTTTCACCTATCCAACCCCGCACTCACGCTCTCGACAGTGGATTCTCGGATTGCCACGGCAATGGTGTCTCTACGTTGTTGTACCTTCAGCGCATAACTGTGTTCTATATTTTCAGCGTATACCTGTATTTTATTCTTGAGTCCGTGTTTTAGCCTTTATCACAGCGAGATGCCTGTCGTTCCGGACAACCCTCGTGACGAGGAGAGATTGTTCCCCGGCGAAGCTTCAGATCCAAAAATCAACGACAAAATCGAGCCCGATTTTGTTTCGATCTCGCCTTCTCACGCCGCTCGTGCATGGAACCTCGCCAGCACTGGATTACACACGATTCTGCTAACGTCAGCAATTGGATTTATCATGATCGCCATCTATTACACGATCCCGCAGCGCTTCGACTGCCTCTCGCTCGTCCGACCGGAGCAAGCAGTCGTCGTTACCTCTCCCACGCACCCCGCACTGACAGCGCCGGCGGCGACAGGTCTCGAAACTTCTCACGAATCGACGTCGCGGCGACAACATCCGAGTCCTGAAAGCAATGCGCGTGATCCGCTAAATCCAGGCATTCAAGCTATGCTGCGGGAGCAAGGACCCCGTCGGGATGAAATTACGCCAAATCACGCCTTCAGCCGAGGGGTTTCGGGTCCGCAGAAGGACCTGAAGCCAGGGGGTCGCGCATTCGCCGGTGTCTCATATTCCCAGGAAGCGGCGCGGCAAGCCGAAGTGACGACTTTGGAGTCAACTCAGAACCAGGCTCCAGACGAGGATCGTCTAGAGTTCACCTTTCCTAAGGGAGTTCCCGGCTCCACGCTGCTGGAGCGAGAAGCCGTTAGAGCCTTCCGCTCGCGGCTCCGCTGTCTGACGACGAGAGGCTGCTGGCGGTACGACGCGACGCCACGTGTCCTCCCATGGGCGCTGCCGAGCGGGTGGGACGGCGGGCGGCAGTGCGACGAGGGGCACGTTGCGCAGGGCGAGGGGAGGGTGGCGTTCGACGAGGCGGACGGCATCGCGCTGGCGGACGGAATAACAGTGGGGGCGGACGGATTAGTGCAGGCGGACGGAACGACAGCGGAGGCGGAACGACGGGCGCTAGAGCAAAGCGGGACGGGGATTGCTCAGGTCCAGGCAGGCGGATACGGGGATCCGGGGAGGTGGAGAGTGCGGGAGAGCTTGAAATACCGATGGAACGTTAGCAGCAAGTGCGGGCCATGGCGGGAGTTCGATAGCAGCGAGCTGGTGGGGAAGCTGGCGGGGCGACGGCTGCTGATCGCGGGCGACTCGCTCAGCGGCATGCTCTTTGCTGCCCTGCGCAACGCACTGTTCATGGGGTTCAACCGCACCTCCAGCCAGAAACGACAAAACCTGCCGCCCAACTGCGCGCCTACGGACAGCCTGCCCGGGTTCTGCAGGCAGTGGGGGAGGGAGATAGCGCTGCGCGCGCACCACGCGCTGTGTGTGGAGGACACGTGCGCGGATGCCAGCGTGGCGTTCGTGAGGAGCGACGCCCTGGACCCCTCCTCGAACCTCACCCTGGCTTGGCCGAAGCTGATCGGATTTCCGTGGCTGCATGTGCTGAACGGTACCAGCAGTGGGGGAGAGCAGGATGGGGGAAATGGTGGACAGGGTGAAGACGCTTCTAGAGAAAGACAAGTTGCTGCGATTGTACTGAATCGTGGAGCGCATTATACAGAGGACGAGCAGTTGGTATCAGAGCTCAACGCCACCCTCTCTGCCATCCGTGCTGTCGCACCCCGCGTGCTCCTCATCTACCGCAACACGCCCCCCGGCCACGCACACTGCAAGCACCACTCCAAGCCGCTCAGATACAGACAAGACGCCGCCCAGCTGCCGCACCACTGGGGGGATTTTGGGCGGCAGAACGAGCTGGCGAGGCGGGTGGATACGGCTACGGGGCTGAGACCCGATGGGCATGTGATGCTCAAGGATGGGAGGGCGGACTGCTTGCATTACTGCCTGCCTGGGCCAGCTGACACGTGGGTGCGCATGCTGTTCAACATTCTAGTTGACTTGCTGTGATGCATGCACATGGGGGCTGTTTTTGAGGCGCCTTGAAAAAGGGCATGGGGGTGTGTACTGGGATGTGGATACAGCCACGGGGTTGAGACCAGACGGGCATGTGATGCTGAAAGATGGCAGGGCGGACTGCTTGCATTACTGCCTGCCGGGGCCGGCTGATACGTGGGTGCGCATGCTGTTCAATGTGCTCGTGGACCTGCTGTGATTCTCTTGTGGGGGGGACTGACAGATACCCAGGTACTGCCTGCACTATTGCCTGCTGGGGCCAGCGTGGGGGTGTGTACTGGGATGTGGATACGGCCACGGGGCTGAGACCGGATGGGCATGTGATGCTCAAGGATGGGAGGGCGGACTGCTTGCATTACTGCCTGCCTGGGCCAGCTGACACGTGGGTGCGCATGCTGTTCAACATTCTAGTTGACCTGCTGTGATGCTCTCATGGGTGGGGTGCTGATATGCATGCCTACATTGCTGCCTGCACTACTGCCTACCTGGCCCGGCAGACGCATGGGTGCGTATGCTGTTCAATCTGCTCATGGAGCTGCTGTGACTCTCTCACATGGGGGCGGCGATGTAACGTGAATGCTGCCTGCAACATTGTTATAGTACTGTAATATTGTTGTGTCTGCAACACTGCCTGGTATACCCAGCTACCGGTATATGTGGGAGCACGTGTAGTTGTATATTCTAGTGGAGTGGTCCTTGTCTTGTATCGGCTGTGGAAACAGCAAGTATGGGGTGGGTCCAAGCACGGAGTCGCAATCATCTGCAACACTCCCTGCCTGCCAGGAACAGCTGATATCTGGGAGCACGCGTATTTATACATTTCAGTGGGCTGGACCTTATGTTGTATCAGTTGTGGAAACAGCAAGTTTGGAAGTTATTGAAGCACAAAGCTGCGAGCATAGCGCGCATTGAATCACAAGGCTGTGAGTATATCACGCATTGAAGCACGAAGCTGTCAATATAGCACCCATTGAAGCACAAATCTGTGAGTACGCATTGAAGCACAAAGCTGCGAGTATAGCACGCATCAAAGCGTAAAGCCTACACAGGACAGCCTAAGGTGCACTGGATTAGTCCCCTAAGTACACCCCAGCAGAGGTCCTGTACAGGTGGGTCAGCAAGGTCAGCCTTGGCTCAGCAAGATCAGATTTCAAGCGACAGGTGGAGCCCATCCAGGAGGGAGATGAACTCATGCCCGCTCTCCTCCCACTCCTGCTCCTGCCCCTGCTGCTCGCCTCCTCCTGTGCTCATGCTTCTGCCTTGTGACCACCTGTGGTGTGCCTTCTCCTCCTCCCATCCCCTGTACGCTTGCACTGTGCTCCACCCCTTCGCACCGCTCTCACCCAACCCTCTCCCCTCATTCCTGCCACGCCTGTTGCCATTCAAAGCGATGAGATGCGGCAAACAACCACTACTCGTGCTCGTGCCCGTGCTTGTGCTGCTACTGCTGGCACGTCTGCCAGGTTCCCCCTGTGCGAGAGTCCTCTTTGCTGCGCTGTCCCCACCAGGGCAGCAGGAGCAACAACCCACTGCCGCCCCTCCATCCCCTCCCTCAGAGCCCTCGCTGCTGCTGGCCAGGGAATGACCTGCTTCGGCTCCATACAGGCAGGTGCTACCTGGTGAAGGCGCACCTGGAGTGGCCGCACATGCGTGGTGCGTTTGAGTTGACTCAACAGGCACACCTGATCTGGCCACACCTGGAATTGCAGCACGCGCCATGCGTGCGCATGCGTGCTGCGACGTGTGACAGGCATGTGCGTGGTGCAAGCAGCACTGGCGTGCGCACACGTGCGTGGAACCCGTGAGGTGACTCCTGCGCGTGCTGCCAGCAGCAGCGGCGGCGGTGGCAGCAGCACTGGAAGCACGTTCAGCAGCAGCAGCAGCACCACGAGCACGAGCAGTGGCAGCAGCAACACCTGTGCGGGTGGCAGCAGTAGGCATGGCGTTGGGCAGTGATGCAACACGGCAGACATACACAGATGCACCCTTGGGAGAAGAGCCCGCCTCCTCAAACCATGCTGCCTGCCGTGCCTCCCCGCCCTTCAATCCCTCCACATCGCCTTTCAACTCCCCCACCTCGCCTGTCAACCCTGCCACCCCCTTCTCCAACTCCTCCACCCTCTCTCTCCCCCACACCACCTCTCTCTGCACCTCTCTCACCGCTGCCCTCCTCTCCCCCTCCACCGCACCCCTCGCCCTCCTCAGCTCTACCACCTCCACCTCTACCCTTCTCAACGCTGCCTCCACCGCTCTCCTCCGCGCCTGCTCTCCCTTCACCTCCCCCTCCATCCTCCTCGTTTCTGCCTCCCACTCCCTCCTCTCCGCGTCCCACTCCCTCCTCTCCCTCTCAGCCTCCCCCTTCTCCTCCTCTAGCTCTCTAACTCTCGCCCTTAGCTCAGCCACTCGCCTCTCCCCCTCTCCAATCACCTTCCTCATAAATTCCCCCTCACCTACCCCCTCCTTCCGCCCTCTCTCCCACGCCTCCTGCACCCTCTCCCTCTCCCGCTCCCTTCCCTTCTCCACCTCCCTCCTCAACCTCTCCACCTCCTCCTCTAGTCCACCCAGCTCCTTCCTCCTCCTCTCCTCCATCTCCCTCCTCTCCCTCCCCAACTCCTCCTCAGCTCTCCTCTTCTCCCTCTCCCTATCCTCCATCGCAAATCGCACGAACTGCTTCAGAGCACCCTTGTGCCTCTCCCTCTCCTTCCGCCTCTCGTCCTGCACGCGCTGCAGCTGCGCCTGCGCCCGTTCCAGCTGCGCCTGCACCAGATACACCTCCCCCTGCGCCACCATCGCCTGCGCCTGCAGCTCTTCCAGCGCCCTACTCCCCCCACAGCAGCAGCAGCCATCAACGCTGCTCGCCTGCTCGCTTCCTGTCATCTGCTCCTCGCTTCTAGCTCCAGCCTCCACAAAAGCGTTCTTAGCAGCCTCGGCAGCAACGCTTCTAGCTCCGGCCTCCACACAACCCTGCTCTGCAGCCTCGGCAGCAAAACTTTCAGCTTTGGCCTCTAGCCCAGTAGCATAACCCTGGGAAACCGTTACGGCACCGCCGGTGCGTGCCCCCGCCCTCCCCCTGCGGGCTTCCGCCTCCAGCGCGCGCCATTCCGCCCTTTCCGCGCGCATCTCCGCCTCAAGGGAGACCCGCTCCGCCCGTGCGCGCGCCAGCTGCTGTTTCAGCCGCACCACCCGCCGCTCCTGCCGCAGAGCCTGGGGTTGGCGAGTGCGGGCGTAAAAATGGCGAAAGATGCGTGAGGCGCGGGACAGAGACTTTTCAATATGCTCACGCGGGGCATGAGCGCGCGGAGGGATGCGGGGGGTGGGCGAGGGGGAGACGGAGAGGGTGAGACGGAGAGGGAGACTCGCACGCAAGATGCGTCACCAAGACTTGCTTGGTGGTACCCTACCTTGGTCAGATCAAATTCTTCTCCTTGGTCTCTCCCATCCGCGTCATCATCCTCCCAATCCTCGTCATCGTCTCCCGATGCCACGTCATCATCCCCCTCAACGTCTCTCGCCGCCAGCTCCCCCACCAGCGCGCGCACCATCTTCCGCGCGTCCGCCAGTTGCGCGCGCATTCGTTCCTCCGACTCCCCGCTGTCCCCGCAGAATCTCCGCCTCTCCGCAGCCCTCGACGCTGAGTGGAGCCTCTCCGCTTGCGTCTCCGCACTGGCGCAAGTTTCCCCCTTCTCCGCGTCGTCCTCAGGCGGAGAATTTCTGTTTTTTTCAATGGTGGGCTCAGGAGAACAGTCGCTTTCAGTCAAGCGCGACCGGTGCTTTGTCGAAACTTCGTCTGCGCCTGGGGTAACCGGCGCGAGCGACAGGGTGGACAGCGCAGGTTGCCGGGGCTGGGCGCCGCTCGCTGCCGGCTCCGCGCCACACGCGGTGGAAACAGCAGCGCCGTGCGCGGACGCAGCGTCCGTTACGTCACACGCTTTAGAAGTCACGACATCGAAATCTGCCGCTAGTTTGGAGCATTTGGGGTTGGCGGGTGTGCACCCATTTTCGCCGTCCATGATTAGACTTGTTCCCTCGAATTTCTCAGAATCAGCGAAGTTGCTGCTCCGAGGTGTCGCCATCGTTAGTGACGAGCTGAAAAGGTTAGCGAATTTTTATTTCAGTTACTTCTTCAGATGCGTTTTCCTCCAAGCGAGCAGTTCCCGTAATGTCGCGCAATGGCGAAGGTAGAGAAACAGGCCAAACTCGCGCAAACAATCATGGCTGCTAGATTGGGTGCACAGCAGATAATAACAAACGCATTGGTTCTCATGGCATTCCATTTCTGCCTGAACAAGAGCTCCCCAGACCAGATTTATGATTTCCTGGCTGTGACGAAAAACTGGAATAGAGCTCGGAATCGTACGAAACTGGTAGCCCGCGTAACGAGTTGTGGCGACATTCGTTTGACTGTCAGGTGTGCGCTTCGTTACCCTGAGCGCAACCGTTCCTCAACCGTGCGCGCGACTGGCGTCTGTCGCAAGATAACTGCGAGCGATTTGCGTTCTTTTCCGCATATTTTGTGGAGTTTCCGCATCTGACGGTCTTGACCTTGTCTTAGAAGAGCTGCAGAGCTGAGATTGGTCTGACAAAGCGCTTCGCCTTTGCCTGATTGGTTGTTGTGGGCGCCAGCCAAATCCCGCTCTTGCTCATCTTGACTCCGCGTTACAGTCAGGCTCGACAGCAGGCTTTTTAAGATTATTGTTTTACATCTGTGTAGTGCGTATGATTGATTTGGTCAATCAGCATTCGAACACTTTTCTCCTGTTTTGACTTCGCTTTATGGAGGTGTCAGAGCTGGCAGATGACTAGTCATCTCGGGAACATTTCCCGCCATCTCAGCATGCTTATCCCCACACCTACAACCTCGCCCCTTTGCCTATCATCCTGCACGTTTCTGTGCCTTCGTTAGGGACGAACAGCGCTCAAAAGGAAGTACTTTTCTCGCGCATTCGTGAGGGGTAGGATATATTTGTCGGCCTCAACGGTTCCTTTCCGTCTCGCCAACCCATGATGGCGTTCCTTGCTCCGCCTTCCCCGGCAGGGACCGCGTCGCGAGTGTCTCTAGTCGCGAGAGATTCGCAGCTCCGCCTTCGGCCATCCGTCACCGTGACCGCCGCTCCCGCCGCGATCTGCGGTGGATCTGTGCGACTCTGCTGCACGTGCGAACCGCATTCGTCCACGTCAGCCAGTAGCGGTTCAACAAACGAGGCCACGTTTCCTTCTTTTCAGGAACGTGCGCGGTCGTTGAACAACGTAGTATATCCTCTTTTCAGCTCTTCCAGCCAATCAGATGGTTCCAAATCAGCTGCGACGTCGCCTGCCGCAGAATCCGTCGCCGAGCGCGCTGACTCCATTCCGTGCGACGATGACGACAACTTCCAACGTCTCGTTTCCGATCAGCTCGTCGCACGCGTGCGACGATACGGCCCGTCGTTCCTCGTCGGCACGTGTGTCGCACTCAGCCTAGCCTTCGGCTTGCCGCGCGCGGCGCAAGCAAAGTCCGACAAGCCGCTCGCCCCGCCGCCCACGCCGATCGTGGGGCGGCAGACTCCCGACGGGGGGAAGGTTGGGGGGAAAGCGGAGGCGGGGGGGAAGGAGGCGGCGGAAAGCGCGCGTGCGCAAGCGGAGGAGCAGGAGCGCGCGGTGAAGATGCTGGAGGACTTTTTGGCGAAGCACCCGCGGGACGTGACGGCGCTGCGCATGCTGCTGCGCGTGCGCATGAAGTGCGCGGACTTCGCGGGGGGCATCAAGATACTGGACCAGCTCGTGGAGGTCAGCCCACGCACGCATCCCGCTCTCTCATACTCACACACGCGCACACACAACATTAGGATTTGAATGAACTGGGCTCTAAATGAAGTGCGCGGACTTCGCGGGAGGCATCAAGATCCTCGACCAACTCGTGGAGGTCAGCCCGCGCTCACACTCACACCCACCAGCCAGTAGTATAACCCGAGTGAATTGGTTTTGAATGAACTGGATACAACCTCACACTCACACACACCAGCCGATGGTACAACCTGAATGGATTTGCTTTTGACTCCACACTCAAAAGGCACGTGAACGCACACTGGTTGATGTTGAACCTGATCGGACTGATGGGGAGCAGAGCAGCAAATGCCTCCACTGCAGAAGCGTGCAGTGCAGGATGGTATGAGTCGACTTTTCGAATTCCCGTGCTGCTGCCCTCCACTTGCAACACTTTCCCCTCCCCCGGCCTTGGCGCGGAGCAGATAGTGCCGAAGGACATGGAGTGGAAGTACATCCGCGCGCAGGCGATCGTATCAGTTGAATTATTCAATGTCTGCCCTGCTGCCCTTCCCCTTGCAACAACCCCCCCACTCTGGCGCGCTGAGCAGATAGAGCCGAAGGACATGGAGTGGAAGTACATCCGCGCGCAGGCGCAGGAGTTCGTTTTTTTAAACGACTCAACCCTCATCTCCAACCCCGTCCTTTTCCCCCCTAACCCCCATCGCCGCTGGCGCCGACAGATCGAGCCGGAGGACATGGAGTGGAGGTACATCCGCGCGCAGGCGCAGGAGTTCATGGGGGACCTGCAGGCGGCGCGCAAGGGCTTTCAGGACATCCTTAAAACCGACCCCTTCTCCGCGCGCGCGCTCCAGGTGCGCCGCTGCTTGCTGCGCGGTAATTTTTTCTTCTGCTTTGGTTTTGTTTGGAGTTTTTACTCATATCCTCTCGTTCCCGTCGCCCCCTTCCACCAGCCTCTTTGAAAGGACTCCCCAGTCCCCCTCGTCCCCCCCACACCTCTGCTGAACTCCTCCCCATACCCTTCCCTCCCCACCATGCCCCTCCCTTCTCCTCCTCCCTCTCCCTTCCCCCACACAGGGCCTAGCAACGGTGATGCGGCGCAGCGGCGAGGACAGCCTGGTGCTGGGGATGGTGGAGGAGGCGGTGGGGAAGAGAGCAGCACCTAAGACCCTTCGTTTCCATCACGTCACTCCCCCTGCATGCCCGATTCCCTCCTCCCACGCACACCCATCTTCCCCTTACCCGCGTGTCCCCACACAGGGCCTGGCAACGGTGATGCGGCGCAGCGGGGAGGACAGCCTGGTGCTGGGGATGGTGGAGGAGGCGGTGGGGAAGAGAGCAGCACCTAAGACCCTTCGTTTCCATCACGTCACTCCCCCTGCTTGCCCGATTCCCTCCTCCCACGCACACCCATCTTCCCCTTACCCGCGTGTCCCCACACAGGGCCTGGCAACGGTGATGCGGCGCAGCGGGGAGGACAGCCTGGTGCTGGGGATGGTGGAGGAGGCGGTGGGGAAGGCGGGGCAGGCGGGCAAGCAGCAGGAGGCCACCAACCTCAAGATGCTGCTGGGGCAGCTGCACGCGCTGCAGGTGTGTTGAGGGTGCAGGGTTGGGGTTTTGAGCTCAGTCAGATTGACAGCAGGAGGCCACCAACCTCAAGATGCTGCTGGGGCAGCTGCACGCACTGCAGGTGCGTGCATGTGGTGGTGGGAGGTGGGGGAGAGAGGGGTGGGGATGGGAGGGAGGATAGGAGGGAGGGGATGGGGGTCAGGGTTGGAGTTTTCAGGCATTGGCAAGCAGCACGCGGCCACCAACCTCAAGATGCTTCTGGGGCAGCTGCACCTGCTGCAGGTGGGAGGAGAGGGGGAGGGGATGGGTGGGGGCGGGGAGGGGGGTGGTTTTTGTATGGGTTGTTTAAGGCACGGGGACAGGAGGCAGGGTTGGCCCTTTTTTTAATCGTTGGTGATAGAAGATAGGATAGGGGCCTCGTGTTCTCACTCATGGGGGACTCCCTGCAGGCCGATGCCCCACGGCACTGACTGACCATATGCTCTCTCCTTGTTGTTTTCTTCTCGTACTGTACTCCACCAGGGCAACGTGGAGGCAGTACGACGCCATCAGCGCCAGCGACTCGAGTGACTCCCATGCCCAAATGACGCGCATGCTCCCCCCATGCTGGTTTCCACGCAGGGCAACGTGGAGGCAGCAATAGCGCAGTACGATGCCATCAGCGCCAGCGATCCGAGTGACTTCCGGCCGTACCTGTGCAAGGGGCTCGTGTTCTCCCTCATGGGGGACAGCAAGCAGGCCGACGCGCACTTCAAGGAGTTCCGCCGGCGCTGCCCCAAGAACTATGCGAGCTACCTGGATAACATGCTGGTCAAATCCACTGTGGAGGCACGGCGGCAGGAGGTGCGTTGTGGGACGGTGGTAGGGAGCTTTGAGTGGTGCGAGTTGAGTTGAGATGTGCATTCACAGTGCTGCCCCAAGAACTACGCGAGCTACCTGGATAACATGCTGGTCAAGAGCACTGTGGAGGCGCGGCGGCAGGAGGTGCGTCCTGCCCTTGAGCTTTGAGTGGTGAGTTGAGTTGAGTTGGGCATTGAGTGTTAAGTGGCGCTGCCCCAAGAACTATGCGAGCTACCTGGATAACATGCTGGTCAAGAGCACTGTGGAGGCGCGGCGGCAGGAGGTGCGTCCTGCCCTTGAGCTTTGAGTGGTGAGTTGAGTTGAGTTGGGCATTGAGTGTTAAGTGGCGCTGCCCCAAGAACTATGCGAGCTACCTGGATAACATGCTGGTCAAATCCACTGTGGAGGCACGGCGGCAGGAGGTGCGTTGTGGGACGGTGGTAGGGAGCTTTGAGTGGTGCGAGTTGAGTTGAGATGTGCATTCACAGTGCTGCCCCAAGAACTATGCGAGCTAGCTACCTGGATAACATGCTTGTCAAGGGCACCGTGGAGGCACGGCGGCAGGAGGTGCGTTGTGGTATTGGGTGGCTCATGTTCGCTTATGGGGGACAGCAAGCAGGCTGATGCACACTTCAAGGAGTTCCGACGGCGCTGCCCCAAGAACTATGCCAGCTACCTGGTTAAGAGCAGCGTGGAGGCAAGGCGGCAGGAGGTGCGTTGTGGGGTTGGGTGTTGAGTATTGAGGAGTGAGTGTAGGATGGCTTTGGGTGGACTCCTGTGCGGAGGAAGGGAGTGGGAGCTGTTGGGTAGAGGGTGTACCTGCCATGGATGGATGCACCTACCATGGATGGATGCACCTGCCATGGGGGGTGCACCTACCATGGGGGATGCACCTACCATGGGGGGTGTACCTGCCTTTGCTACTGTCTGTAACTTCCTTCCATTGCACCTGTTCCCATGCATGGTGCCTCCACAGATTCCATTTCTTCATTCCTTTTTTCCACATCTCCTCACCGGGATTGCATGTAGCAGAGGGAGAAGCGGCAGCAGGTGGAGGCGGAGGCCAAGGGGAAGACAGTGCGCCCCCTGAAGCAGCCCACATCCGGCGCGGGGTTCATGGGGTAGTGATTTCACTGATATACTCGTGACGTGATGGTCGTTGCGTGGTTGTATGTCTCTGGATTGCGTTGCATATATTTCAAGGGAGTAGATAGATACCCGATTTGCCTTGCACTGCTTCGCTGCATGGGTTTGCCGTGCTTGATGTGCATTATGTTGGCGCTACGTGGATGTTCTGCTGTGCATGTCATGGGGAACGTTCCTATGGCACACGTCATGTCCCAAAAGGTGAGGCGTGGTGCAGCACGGTACAGCACAGCGCCTTTTAGGACAAGGATGGGGTGATCGTGAGGAGGGTAGGCAGGAAGGAGAGTATCCCTGCATTGAAAGAGCGAGGGGCACTACTAGACGTACTGGTGTGATGAGCATGGAACAAGGGGGAAGCATGACCTTGCTTGCGTGCCTGAACTTGTGCCTGTCAAGCGCAAGGCCATGGATGCAAACCCTTGTATGCGGGATTGCAACGAGATGCCATACCTACGTTGACTTAACGAGCAGCTAGCGAGAGGTAGGCGGTTTCATCCTTGCATCCTGGAGTGATGCATATCCTAGGATGAAGTTAAGGAGTGGTAAGTTGTGGCCTCTCACGAGGTTTCATTCAACTAATTACCGGTAGTACCGTATATTTGAAGAACCAGGATGTTACTAGGCTTGTCCCGAATTGGTGTATCTTTTGGCCATGCAAGCGACCTGTTGTGGCCTGTCGCTTGAGGATCTTCGTGGCGATATCATTTTTGTCGTGTTTGAAAGGTTTGTGAACGACGAGGCCGACGTTCTCTCCGCCAATGCAGGTTGCTCCCACGCCCCTACAAAAAACGCCTGACATTGGCAGGCTTGATCAAATCTTAGAAGTTGCAGCGGGCGCATGATGATAAAACAAGGGGCTTGGAGGGTTTGTCTGTTCTAGACAGCCTTTCTTGTCTGTCACGCAGAGATGCTAAGTTTGTTGTCCCATTATATTCCACAGCACAAAAGAAGCAGCCAATGTGGCTTTGTCGTGTTTTTACTCGAAGCGCGGGGGCAGCGGAATTGGAATTGTGGGGGGATTTTGTTTTGTTTTACAATTGAGCTACAGTTCGCATAAGTAGAACTGTACGGTGGATTGGTGGGTGGGGTCGGGTCGGGTCGGGGGGATGGGGCTGCCGAATTCAACATGCTGGTGGTGTGGTGGGCGACATGGACGGACTGATTGGAACTGTAGCTGCTGCCAGTGCTGCTTGTTACTGTACACGGTGAACTGTACTGACCGAGTCATCCAATGGAGGAACACACGGTGCCAGCTGGACAGGACATTTCCATGTGTAACACGGCGATGACAACGAAGACTCGACTCGACACAACGTGACACTGTGAGAGAGACCAGTGCGTTTGAAGGGGGAAACTAGCCAGGCACGTCACGCACGGGCAGCCACGGCAGCAGTCGAACAGGGGTTTTCAGCTTAGCGGGGACAGGTATCCCGACCCCTCCGCTTTCAGGGAACGGTTTTCGCTTCCTGCGGACAGTTTCGGCAAAAGGCTGGGCTAGGGGGGGACAGTTATCGTTCAGGTTAAGGACTCGAGCTCTCAATGAGCCACGTGTCTCACTTTTCACAGAGAGTTCACTGTAGGTGTTAAATCACAGATTCCCTACTGCTCTGGCTTGTCGTTTCGACCCAAAATATTTCACGCGGAAGAGTCGTTTAGCTAGCACATTTGCGCTAGCGGCGCTAAACGACGCTACCGGGAACAATAAGGGCAGGGTATAAAAAAATATAAACCCCTAGGGAACCTTGACGCATTTTTGGGAGGGATCAACCCTAAACACGGGAAAGGGCATTGATTTTAGGGTTGATGCCTCCCCGAGTCGCATCCCTTTCCGATTGGGTTTTAGTTTTTTTCGGGTCAGGGGATGCAATATTTATTCCCACATTTTCTCAGGGTGTCGGGTGCAATACACACGATGCTCAACCCCTGCGCGCGAATTTGCCCTTTCCAGGATAGAAAGTCTGCACCTGTGTTTTTTTTACCAGCCAGTTGCACCCACATTACAAGCTCCTCAAGCAAGTTGCAGTGGTTATGAACCAATAATAACCACAAAAACTGAAGTCAAACAGAAGGGACCGAAGTCAAACTGTCAACGGGGAGTTACAAATATTTAATAAGCCCTTTTTTTCTAGGTACGACGTTGACGAAATTTGCGAAGTGCCCAGTATCACTTAAAATTCCCCTTCACAAGGCGACCTTGGGTTAGTCAAACGGGCATCGTGTGTATACAGGTTTGGGAACAGCGGTTTGACCAGCCACCCCGAACGTGGGCTGGATTCGGTGGAAAAGACAAGCATGCGCATAGCAGAATCTGTGATTGCATGTGTACAGTGAGCGAGCTGTGAAGGATGAAACACGTGGCTCATTGAGAGCTCGAGTCCCTTACCTGAACGATAACTGTCCCCCCTTGCCCAGCCTTTTGCGGAAACTGTGCGCAGGATGCGAAACCCGTCCGCTGAAAGCGGAGGGGTCGGGATACCTGTCCCCGGTAAGCTGAAAACCCGTCGAGCAGTAACGATATCGCCGTTTCCCCCTCCTCTTCGACTCCTCCTCCCTCCGTTCCAGCGCACATTCAACAGCAAAGCAAATCTGCTGCCCAGCGAGGGGCGTGGCCATCCCATTCCATCCCACCTTGTTCTTTCCATCCTCGTTCTTGGGAGTTGTGTCGAGACATGCACATGCGCAATTTAGGGTTCGTTGTGTGGTAACTCAGTCCCTGGACTTCAATATGCTCTACTTCTGCTAGCTAGCCCCGACAATCCAGAGTCGGTCGGTCCGGCTCCACTTTTTCCGTCGGGAGGCATAGGCCGTACCGTACCGGCCGTATTTAGACACATGGACACTTCAGCGTCAGGTTCTCCCGACTCTTCCGCCCCTCCGCCCGTTGCGCGGCTCCCAGCAGCCCGTCGGTACCTCCGCCGCATGCGCCCCGCCGACAAACAGCGCCAATCGCAGCAGGAGCAGCAGCGGGGCAAGAGTTCAGCACAAACTGTAACCTCCGCAGACGCAAACCCTTCCCCGTTCGCCGCCGCCGCAGCCGCCGGCGCAGGTGCAGAGTCCTCGCAGTCGCAATTATTCACGCCGAGCCGCTTTAGTATTTTCAGCAACGCAGCAGTATCTCGAAAAGTCGCACCCGTGATAACTTTCGAAAGTATCACCGCCGATAGCAGCACGGCAACTGCCAATCCATTCGCGCTCCCCCATGACTCCGTCTTCCCATCGCTAGGCCGCCCGCCATTCCAAGTAGACTCCGCTGCGCCGATATTTACCGCCGGAACAGGCGCCGCGTCGCGAGGAGAGGAGGACGTTCGCCCTGCGACACCTCCGACCCCCTTGACGAGTTTCTTGGCGAATTCCTCTGCGACGAGCGACGCGACTCCTGCGCGCGACAGCTGCGACAGAAGAGATGTCTCAGGGGCCTGTGAGTTGTCGCTTTCGATCGTAACGGGGAGGTCCGCCGAACACGAAGATCGCGAAAGGATTGGCGAAAGCGAAAAGTGCGAGAGATTTCGGGAAAGCCGGACCGGGGAAGGCAGAATTGGTGAAACTGATGCTAAGGAGGGTACATTTGGTGAAGGTAGTAGCGTAGAAGGGAGATTCGGAGAAGGGAGATTAGTTGAAGATGGCACATGCGAAACAAGAATTAACGAATCAAGAGATCGTGTAGATGAAGGGGTCTGGCAGGGGATTTGTACAGCGGAGAACGTGGGGCGTGGCGGCGCGCAGCAAGAGCGGCACGAGGGGCAAGAGGGACGAGAGGGGCAGGAGTGGCAAGAGGGGCAAGAGGGGCAAAGGCGCGAGAAGGACGAGGAGTCTTTTGTAGGGGAGGATGCGATTACAAATAACTCGGTAGAAGGAAACTCGATAGATGATGGAGAGAGCGACGAGAGTGAGGAGAGTGAGGAGAGCGAGGGGGGTGACGAGGGGGAGGAGGACGATACTGGGAGCGAGTCGTCGTCTGCGCCCCAAAGAGCCCCTTCCCCCTCCCCTCCCCCGAATCTCAATCCCCTCGCGCTGCTCGCGCTCTCCCACGCGCCCTTCCCCTCCGCCTCTTCGGTCACCAGCACCACCGCCACCACCTTTTCAGGCGGGACCAGCCCCACGCTCTCCTCCGCCGCCGCTGCCTCCTCCCGTTCCGCCGTCTCCCCGCCCGCCTCCCCCTCCGCGCCCTCCGCTTTCCCAAATTTCTCTTTCGCTCCGCCCCAAGCCGCGCACCCGATTCCCCACCCGCGCCCGCCGTCGTCCGCCGTCGTCAACATGGCTTCGCTGACGGCTTCGCAGAAGTTCGCGAAGCTGCTCCAGCAGCTCGCGAAGCAGTCGGCGGAGCTGTCGGAGCTGCGCGGGGAGCTGGCGGACGCCAAGGGGGAAGTGGCGGAGATGCAGGCGGTACTGGCGAAGGCGGGCCTGGATTTCGTGCGCGAGCGCATGGAGAAGGAGCGCCTCGGGCAAGCCTGCGCGAAACTTAACAACGCGCTGCTCTCCTCGCGCCGCGAGACCGCGGACGAGCGCGAACGGCGCGAGCTAGCGGAGCGGTTAGCTGTGGCCGCGGAGCTTGTGCGGAGGCAGCTGCTGGAGGAGATCACGCTGGAGCGCGCGCAGCTCGCGCGCGCGGACAACTGGCGCGAGCATAACGTGCATTTAAAGCTTGTCGAGGCGCAGATGGTAGTTTCGGAAAAGGTGGCGATGTTAGAAGTGCTGCACGCGGAACTGGAGAAGAAGTTCCGCCAGGTGGGCGCGGGGAGGCTGTGGCGCGGGGAGGAGGAGCGCCCGTTCGGCTGGTTTTTGAAGTTTCTCAAGCAGCCCGAAGGCAAGGCGTGGGCAGTTGAGGGGCTGGGGGGGGAAGGAGAGGAGGGCGGCGGGGCGGGGGAAAAGGGGAAGGGGAAGGCGGAGGAGGGCGCTGCTGGTGCGGGTGCTGATGAGGGTGATGCCATGGATGGTGCTAGTTCTTCTAACGGAGCTGCTTCAAACGAGGCTGATACTCAGGAAGGTGAACGTAGGGGTGACAATAACAGTGCAAGAGACAGTACCGAGAGTGACTCTGACGAGTATGAAAATGACAGGGCTGGCGGTAGCTCTGACTCGCTCACCGAGGCTGTCCCGCTGGTCGGGGGAGGCGGAGACGAGCTTCGGATTCCGAAGCTGCGGGACAGGTCCGGGAACGCGGGCGGAAGCAGCAGTTCGCGGATTCCAGGGCGGGGGGGAGGCAGCAGGTGCAGGTGGCGCGGCGATCGGCTGTTGGATGCGGACGAGCCCATGTTGCTGCAAGGGGGATACCACGGCTGTAGCGCGTGCGGCCATGGCAGGCCGTCGGCTGTAGCGGCTGCAGCAGCACGCATGAGTAGTTTCTGTAGCAGCTGTGGCGGAAGGGGCACTGGGAATAATAGGACTAGCGGGGTGGGTGCTAGTGTGAGCAGCAGTGTTGGGTCATTAGGTTTAGATGGGTGGCTTGATTTGTCTGCACTTGCATCTGTTTGCTCCCCCGAGTGGTTTGCTACAGCAGCAGCAGTCACTGTAGCGTCAGTGAACAGTGTTTGCGGTGGGGAACGGACGGCAATAGGCGGAGCAGCAGGGAGACGCGAGGGAAACCTCTTAGGCATGCAGTTACCCTTTTCGTCTTGTTTTGAGTCGCAGTATGCTCTATCAGCCACGCACGATGAATTGAATGATGATGGTGATAATGATGATGCTACTGCCAGTGGTCGGAATGGCAGAGCAGCCGAAGCAAGGCCCTGTGGCTGCATGCACCGCGGCAGGCTCGGCCCGAGGCAAGGCAACAGGTCTGGAGGGCCTTCCCTTAGCACGAGAGACGGTGGGATTGATGAAAGGTTCGGAGAGCGGGGCAAGGGCAAGGCGTCGGCTTTGTTGCCTCCCAAGCCCCAACGGGCAGGCAGGGGAGCAGAGGCAGGAAGTGGAGGAGGGAGAGGTTGTGGAGGAGGGGAGTACTGCCAGTGCTGTGGGCGTTGCTGTCGGTGCCCGATTGGAAATGGAGGTCGCTAGCCGCACCACCATGGACAGCAGTGTGAAAGGATGATGCAAGATGAGGAAGGTTTAAACAAATGCTTGGTTGTACTCCGGGTGCTGAGTTCTAATATGCCATGCAAAATGGAGGGTGTGAATGAGACTGCTGAAGGAACGTGTCCTGGCTCAGGGGGATGTGGTGAGGGGGTGGAGGTGGGGGAGTGCACGGAGAATGCCAGAGTTATAAATCCGTCCTCATTACCTCTAGAAGTGTTTCCAGAACTTGGAATATGCATATATTGATTCAATCTCTCAGGGCGTCCTAGATAATGAAGACTGTGACCGTTAAGAATCAATGCAAGGCACCAGTACCTGGCTTTCCCTGCGGAGGATGATCGAATGAACGTTGTAAGCTCTTTTGGCACAATAAAAAGGAATGGTTTGTATGCATAGACACTACGAATGGTTTATATGCTAGGTATAATATGTGTGCGGCCGACTGCAGAACTGAAACGTACAGTTTTTGATGGCGGCGTGGCAAGTTGGCATTCGCAACTCAATATAGTATGCCACAGAATGAACAAACATGGCGAAAGTTGCCGCCAAACAGTGTACCACTGTAGCTCTGTCACCTGGAATAGATTGGATCGCACGAAACCACCTCATGTACCGACAGGCGGTGACTGTGGTTGGTTTCATATCCTCCAGAGATGTGCTAAACAATAACTTTTCTCCCTCCCCTTCATATTCAATTCAACTTTATGCAGGTGTGAGGTTAGCAATTCAATTCCCTGGACAATTAGAGCGCGGTACACCCAAGCAAAGATCGCTGCATTTTGAGGATCACGTCGGCGATCCTTGCGGAACAGTGTCCCACCTACTACAGTACAGTGATCACTGTGTCAGGTGGTGTACCAACAGAGGTGGGATCGGGAACATGTGTAGTCAATGCTACACAATTTTTGTGATGTCCGTAGGATCATCGTGACTGCCAATCTCTTGGTGATCTTTGCAACTTTGTACCAAAGTCAGGGTGATCCTTGTTGACGAAAAACTTTCCTTTCGCAATCAGGTAGTACATCTGAAACGAGGTCGCATCAAATCAAAACATTTCGAAAATGAAAATCTCACCAATGAGGTTGTTTCGTCTCAGTATATTACACGGCCAACATATGCACGCGAAGTATCAACGTTCGTGACTCGTTGCGATGTCGCCTGGTCGCAGAGGATCACCAATGCAAAATTGGAATTGGTACATCAACGAGGATCGTAATGTGCCCACATAATTTGTTGTTTTGCTACCAATGATCCTACGATTGGGGTGACGGTGATCTCAGCTAAGTGATCCTTAAAAATACGCCAGGTGTACCCCGCTCTTAAATTAACCTTTCAGTAATCCCTAAACAAACCAGGGCTAGCAAAACTTGATCCGCGATGACCTCCTCCTGTGCTTCAGGGGTTTGACAATCAGCGCAGAGATTCATGGTTTTGATGAACGACATGGTATTGTGGCGTGCAAGTTTCATGACTTAGATGGGTGAAGGGTAGTGAAATCCTACTGCAAATGTGATCGTTCTTGGGTGTGGGATGGAACAACGGGAATATGAAGCAAATAGGGAAAGGTGGAAAGAAGGCAGGAGGGCTGGAGTACTGCTGGATGCTACTATTTTTGTGGAACTACTTGGGTGTACATCACGGAACAGCCAAAAATACAAGCTGGAGTCACGATTACACTGTTGGGCATTCGAGATACACTTCGAGATACAAACTGGAGTCACGTATGCACTTCGTGTCCATACGTAATGTGGCTTGTTTTGGCAGCATGCATGCAACGCTGTCGACAAACTCGGAAGGAAATGCCAAAATCCCACATCACCACCACTGATGGTTTGCGACAAAGAATAGTCACAAATTTCGCGAAGCCTGGTTACCTACCCTGGTTACCCACACCACCACCACCCCTAGCCCGCCCATTGGCTTCCAGGAGCACCCCAGAATAGTTGACCCCTCCAACCCAACCGCAACCCCACCCTCTCTTCACCTTCTCGGCGAGTGGGCGCTGCTGGTTCTTGAGGGGTCGGCGCACATGAGCGAGGTGAACGTACATAACTGTAGCTGCGTTGAAGAATTGGGCAGCATTGGGCCAGACCAGGAACTCCGTAGGCGAGGCTTGTTGTTACCTAATGGCAGTCCAGTCCAGCGAGGTCAAGAGCACCAATCGTAAACCGACTTACACATCCTTGTATAGACGTACGCATCGAGCATTCGATTATTTCCTTCGCGCTTTCAGCCGGACTGGTCCTTAGAAGGGTCCTGATTTCAACTCACGACGGCTCGACGGGCTTCGACTCAGTATTCCTGAGTGAAAGTTGGATTCGGGTCGGACGTCCTTGTCAAAGTTCCGAGTAAAAGTAGGTTTTCCGTCACGTTCGCGCCGCGCTTCTAGCAATCTCGCCGGTCCAGTGGACAAGAACACGAGAAATTCGCGCGAAATAAACTTCCGCAACCATGGCCGCGGTTTCCCCGCCGCATTCGTCGGCAAAAGCACCGTCCCAGCCATCTCGCGATCCGGCGGTCAAGCCGCGGCGCCCATCGTCCCCGCGCAACGGAGGATCTTCCTCATCCGACTCTGCCCCTCCTCGCCTTACGATCTTCGACGGGAAGCAAATCCGACGGCGGATGCACGACGACGAGGCATTCTCGGCGTTCCTCTCGCACGAGTTCGACCGCCTCGACGCCGACGGTAACGGCGCGCTCTCTCTGGGCGAGTTAAAGCCGGCGCTACTGCGGCTCGGGGAGCTATTAGGGATGCCGCCGGCCGGGACGGCGCGCGAAGTTGACGAGCTGGTGGAGGGGCTTTTCGCGTCGTTCATGTCGCCGGATCTCACGGAGGAGATTGGGCGGGATTCGTTTGTCCGGGTTTGCAAGGATATTCTTAGCGGCGCGAGCCACGCGTTAGAAGGTACGTGCAAGTCAGCGACGCGTATGCGCGACGCGCTACTCGGAAATTGCCTCTCCTTCATTCGTCCCCCCCCTGCATTCATTCCCCCGCCCCCCTCATTCCTCCCGCCTTTCTCTCCAACACTTTCCCCCTCTCCGCTTCCACAGAGGACCCGCTATCCACGCTGGTCTACGACGGGGGCGCGCTGCGGAGAATACTGGGCAGCGCGGAGGAGGCGGAGGCGCTGATTTCGACGCTGTTCGCGGAGCTGGATGCGGACGGCAGCGGGTGCATCAGCAAGAGCGAGCTGCGCCCCGCGCTCGTGCGCCTCGGGCTCCACAAGGGCGACAACACAACGGCCGAAGGTTAGACCTGCTCTTGCCGCTCGTGTCGCCCCTGCTGCTCCTGCCTCTCGCGCCGCTCGTGCCGAGCACCCTGAATTCTGGATCGAGGGGCATGTGCGATCGGGGCTGGGGGGGGGGCGGGGGGGGGGGGGGGCGGGGGGGGCGAGCGGAAAGGATTCGGGAGGGGCTTTGCGGGACTGTGCGGGAATCATTCCGCGCGGGGCGTGCGGAGAATCAAAAGCGGGGGAACCTCGTCAATATTCCTTCGCCGCAATTACATGAGAGCTACACAGCAAAAGAATCTGGTTTTACTATCCGCAAAAGAAGAAGCAGGAAAAAGAAGCCAAGCGCATAAGTTTGGTTCGATCCAACCCCCCCATATGCGCGCCAGCACACGGAGCAGGTGCTAGAACGCATCATCGACCGCACTTCCCGTAATCTTCCCTCCCCCCTCACCCGTTTCCCTTATCCTCCCTCCTCCCCGTTTCCAACGCTTCCACCTTTCCCCCCAACCAGCGCGCGAGCACCAGGAGCAGGTGTTGGAGCGCAGCGCATAATCGACCATTACTGCATGGACGGCGACGGGACCCCCCGTCATCCCTCCGTTGCCCCTCTTCTTCCCCTCCTCCCCCTCCTCCCCCCGCCTTCCGCCCCCCGCTCTCCCCTCCCCCTATCAGCGCGCGAGCACCAGGAGCAGGTGTTGGAGCGCATCATCGGCCACTACTGCCTGGACGGCGACGGGGAGCTGTGCCGCGAGGAGTTCTCCGCGCTGCTGCTGGACGTCTTTAAAGACCTCTCGACCGAGCTCGAGGCCGCGCCGCTGTACCTGCCTCAGCGCGCCACCGTTCTCAACGGCGCGTACATAAAAAAGGTGCGCGAACCGCGCACCGCACTGCACCGCACCGCGCGTGCGTGATGAGACGATTGCACTGCCCTGTATCGCGCCTGCAGTGTGCGTGATGTGACGAGTTTTGAGTCAACTAAAACACGATTCTGATTCGCGAGAGCATTAGGGATGTGCGTGCAGAGCACTGCGCCTGCTAGGGGCTCTGCCCGCTACCTCCCATCCCCTTCATCCCCACCTATATGCACACACCTCTTTCAATCCCTCTGCCCTGCCTTGCCCCTCACCTTCCTCTTCGCTCTGTCGCCTTCCTATCCTCCCCCTCCCCCCATTTCCTGCCCTGCCCCCTGTTCCCCCTCCCTGCATGCAGATTCTGAGCGACGACGATTTCTTCACGGCGGTATCGGACGCCATGTTCAACGACTGGGACGTCTCCCGTAGGGGCTTCCTGGGGTGCAGCGACGCCATAGCGGGCTTCCGCAAGCTCGGCCTTGCGTACGGCCTGCCTCCGCCCGACGCCGCGGAAGCAGACAAAGTCTACACGTCGCTCTTCCTATCCGCGGATATTTATCTAGACGGGTTTGTCGACAAAGGGGAATTTCGCACGCTGCTGCGGTCGCTCTTTATAGGCATGCAGCTGCAGCTAGAAGAGACGCCGCTCGTGCTAGAATCGTCCGTGGAACCCAAGGGGGAATCCGGCAGCACGGAGAGTTTCGACGGGCCGAAGCTGCTCGCGCTGCTGCGGGAGGAGGGCGGCGGGCAGCGCGTGCGGAAGTTTCTGGAGGAGAAGTTTCGGGAGATGGATAAGGCGGGGAGGGGGAGGGTTCCGCGGGAGGCTGTGCGCGCGGTGGTCGCGCACGTAGAGCAGACGAGCGCGCTGCCGTCGCCGCGGAGGACGTCTTTTCAGGCGCCTCAAAAGCACGTGGAGCAGACTAACGTGCTGC